CGGGGAGCGAGGGGGCACCGGCACCCGCCGCGCCGACGCTCCGCGCGCCCGGCAGCCCCATCCCGGAGCCTTGGATAGCAGGGAGGGGGCCAGGGCTCCAGCCGCTCGCTCCCGTGGCACCAACCACCTGGGGCTGTCCTGCACGTGGGCCCTTCATCCGGGTGCTCCGTTAAACCATTCCGCTCTCACGGAGCTGCCAGCAGTCGCAGGGAGACGCTGCTCTCCCAGCCTCTCCCAAACAGCCCCTGCTTTCAAACAGACCCCCTGTCTAAGGCACCTTTTGGCTCCTGCTTCGCTCCACTTTACCTTCATTCTCAGCCAGGTTTACTCTAGCGAGACACCTCTGAATCCTTGCTTTGATGTCTTGATAGGGAAACTTTGGTGGCCAGCATTACTAACAGGGCTGCAATCTGGGAAAGGGATTTTCCATTTAGTCTCCAATAGCTCCAACAAGGTCTTGGCACTTCACTCGAGGCTGTGTCCATCTCTCCCCATGGGAGCTGCCATCTCAGTGACACTTCTCCACAAGAGCGATGTGATGAGAGAGATCTGGCAGATCCTTCTGGAAAGGTAACCCCTAGAATTTGTTCAGAGCTTTTGGATTTAATTTAATACTCGGTTTAAATTAACCATTTTTAAATGCTTGCAGACAGTCTCTCCAAACTGAGAGGCCCTCGGCTCCACCGCGGAGGAGCGCGGATCCTCCAGGGCCAGCCCTGTGGCAGATTGTCCAGCCAGTGGCTTCCCCACCGATTCCTGCGTTTCACATGGCAATGGAACCATCGTGCCGAAAACGTAGAGCAAGCAGGAGTTTTGCTCTTCCGCACACAACCTTCTCCTCCCACCTCAGCCTCCTCTCCCGTTTGTGTCCCAAAAGGAGATGGACTCGATTTGGATGAAAAGCAGCCTACGGCACGCGAGCCCGACACCCCGAGAGCCCTCGGCTCCGAGCTGGCCATGGGCTGCACCTTCATTTCACCCTCTGCCTTGGAGCTCGGCCTTCCCTCTGCTCTGTACACACTGCTGGGATCTCTGCCTTAGGAAAAATCCCTCTGCTCTCCTCAGGACTCACCGCTTGTATTCTGCCCATCTCTGCAAATCCCTATGGGGACAGTTTGATCCGATCCAACTACTCCAACCTGGCTGTGCAGCACGTTTGCTTGCCATGAAGCTAGCAGAGAGGCGGCTGAATTTTAAGATATGGACATGACCGGTGCCTGCAGCTGGAAGACCTGGGAACACCTGCATTCAAGCAGCCTGATCTAGACAAGCAATTCCCGAGAAACAGGACGCTGCTGCTCTGAGGCAGAGATATCCACGATCAGATTTAGCTACTATACTGGAACGGCATGACAAAAAAGGAGCCAAAGAAAGCTTGCTGAGTCCCCCTCCCAAACAGGTACAGTGGGAAGAACATCACCCCCTCCTCAAGTACATCCCCTAGCCCCAGGAGAGGGATCCAGGCAGCCTGCAGCATCTTTATAGCTTTCTCTCCCAGAAAGATCTCCCAGGGCATCCTTTAAGCCACTGCGATCGTTCGGCGTGGCTGAGAGTTGGATGGATATTCTAGACCAAGGGAAGTGGTTCTGGGGAAAGGCTGCAGCTTCTCATCCGGGCTGCACAGGGACTGCTGAGTCCCTGGCTAGGGAGCAGATACCTGCCAAGAGGTGAGGTTCATTCCCAAGTCACTGCCAAGGAAACGACCCCAAGGATGTGGCCTCCTGAGCCTCCCTTCCTGCCTCCCAAAGCCCGCTCCGGTGTGACTCGGTGCTGCTGGCCCAGCTCGAGCAGCGCTCACCCCTCACACCTTTCCCTCCGTCTCTGTCCAACAGGGAAAGCATCAAGCTGAGGAATTCAGTGTTTTTTTTTTTTTTTTTTATTGTAAGGACTCAAATCCAGCAGTGTGATAAATGCATCCGAGCTACAATTAGGAAGATATATAGCATCAGAATGCGAAGGTCTGGGCAGCGTGGTGAAACGCGGGCTCTCCAGAGCCCCAGCTATGTTTCCCATTATGTAACCCTGGTCATGGGCAGACAGCCAGACTCCAAATGAAAAAGAGACTCTGGCTTGGCACCGTTTCTATTTTCCTATCCTCATTCGGGGTCAGCGCAGTGTCATACAGCTGCAGAGAAAGCTCCGGGGATTAAACCTGGGAAAGACTCCAAGACCAGGACCCGGGTTCAAGTACCAGCTGAAAGCAATAAACCAACTGCCACAGCTGGGCTGAGTTTAGACGTTCTCAAAGTCCCCCCAGCACTTAGGAAGAACCAGCTATCACGAACATGGCGAGGGCGGCGGGAGCGGAGGCCGTGCGGGCCCCGGCGGAGCCTTGACGAGCTGCCCGGCTGGCCCGGCGCCCAGGCCGTCATCCCGGCTGCGGGGCTGGCCCCGGGCGAGCTCCGGGCCAGGCCTGGGCTCCTCGTGGCTGCCAGGCGGGTACTGGGCCTGCCTTTTTTCCAAAGGTTTTAGCACATTCATGGCATCCTTGCAGCGTGTTTGCGTAGCTCTGGTTTTACGGTCTCTCCTGGGCCCGCTTCACAGGAAGGTACCAAAGGCAACGGCAGGGACACAGTCCCAGCCTGTGCCACCAACTCGTCAGCAGGTAACGGGGCAGGAAGGTGTCACGTCCTGCTGCTGCGCGGTGCAGAGCGCGAGCGGCGCAGGCCCCTCACCTGGATCTGCAGCTTGGCCTCCGCGTTCGCTCCTCACGTGCTCTCCCCACTTCTGAGCTCAGCCTGCCCGCAAACCTTGGCTTATTCCAACCTGCCTGCTGCTCTGAGCCATGTTCTACACTTCTTTGAAGCAGTTCCCATCTAAACCCCTGCGCGGGGTGACTGTACCCGACTGCTGAGCAGTCCCACGCTGGACAGGAGGCTTGTGCCAATACAGAGCAGAAACACTAACCCAGTGCTCCCCTTTCCTTCCCTACCTCTGCAAAAACGTAGGTCCCAGGTCCTTCCCCAGAGCGGAGCTGATTCCTTGCCATGCACCACTATGAGCATCTCCAGGGAAGCTCAGCTCCTGCTGCCCCTCAGTCCCAGACTGCCAATACCTGGGAACACAACACCTGGCAAAACACGACACAAAAGGCCTGGTCTGAAAGACCAGCTCATCTCACCATAGCCCGGAGACGTCCCCAAGGAGCACGAGCCCGAGGGAGCCGGCGGCCCACGCGAAGGCGGCTGCCAGCTGCAGAGAAGGGCACCTAGAGGACAAGACCAGCAGCTCGGTCACCTTCTGGACAGAAGGCAACATGGGGCAGCAGTTGGGCCTTGGCTGCACGATGAAGACCCTCCTCAGCAGCAGGGTTTGCTGAGTGGAGCCCCCAGCCCACGCTCGCTGCTCCCCATTGACCACGCGCTCTGAACCGTGGTAGGACCGGGCAGCAACCACGGCCCTTCCAGCCTCGCTGGAAAGCCACGGCCAACACCTGCTCCGGCAGCCCGCGGGGACCGTCGCCGTCCCCGCCGGAGCGGCCCGCGCTCCGGAGCAGGGGGAGGCCGGCTCTTCCCTGGAAGGCGCCGAGCGCCGGCTGCGCGAAGCCCATCAGAAATTCCATCTCGAGGGCTGCCCGTCGCCAACGGCTCGGCGGCTCCGCGCGGCCCGGCGGGGGGATTGGTGCGGCCGCGCTCACGTGACGGATCCCGCGTTGAGTTCCTGCCCAAAGATGGGCAGCAGTTCACATGAGCAGGCAACGGGCCCACACCGAGCAGCCGACAAACAGAAAACAGACTCCATCTCCACAAAATGAGGCCCAGAACTTCCTGTGTGAGATTTCCAGTTCCTCAGCCAAATGAAAAAGAACTGGAGTAGAGGCAATAAACTAGGAGAGCAGGACTGGACCTGACGCACGGAGCGGGGACCCATTAATGGTTAAGCCACTTTGCTGGATTACTCTTAATGCGTCTTCCCATCACCCTGGGTTCTGGCTCCTTTGGATTAACAATAAGACGTGATTTCAAGCTCTGGATCCGGAGTACCGGAGGCAGATGGAAAATCCTGCGGGAAAGCAGCTACGGAGCATGCTCAGACACTGCTTCGCATACTCCATACTTGGCCCCTTCACTCGATTTTCTGTCCAAAAATATGCAAATTGCCTAGTCCGCATTATGGACTAATGGGCTGGAATCGGCCAGTTTAGAAAATTAACCCTTTTTTCATGCTGCAGGGCTAAAGACAAGCTGGCTTTGAAGCAGATGGGAGGCGACTTGGAGCTTGAGGAACAGGCGAGCTGCTCGCTCCCAGCCCAGCCTGACCAACGTTTACTGGTTTTAGTCAAAAGAGGCTGTAAAACACTCACGGCTGCAAACTGTCTTTTTTTGGAGAGGAAGACCCCTTCCGTTCAGCTGGCTGGGCTAGCAGAGGGCCTAAAGGAGATGCATCCCACGAAAAGCAGACACACATCCCAAGCAGAAGGTAAAATCCAGCTCATGGGCTGTCCTCTAACACACAGCAGCAAAGAGCACCTGGTCCCTCAGAGCCACTTCACCCCCCAGCCCACTCCGTGCATAGGTCTTCTCCTGAGCTGGATAACTGCCACCAAGGGTGACAGGTCCCCACCAAACGTCCCTGCACAATGAGCCTCTTCTGGATGAGAGAGCAGTGCCCAGAGAGTGCTACATCCTATATCAAGCACAAATGATGGGGAAAGGCAGCACAAGGAGGCCCAGGAAGGGAGCGGACAGCAGAAGACAGACCAGAAGATGCACGTACTGTTTGGGAAGCTCGAGAGAGGTAGGAGGCGGATTCCAGGTGTCCGGGTGGCCAAGCATCCAGTCTGACCAGACCTTCACACTGGGGAGCAGTTCCTTCAGGTCCTGAGGCAATGCAGAGACCTTGATATCATCTTCCTCATCCTCCTGCTCCATGTCCTGTGCCTGAGCTGCAAATACAAGACACAAGAGCTGGGGCAGCTTCCTGCAGCCAAGCCCTGAGAGCCGGTCTCAGCGGTCCCTCTGCCTCGGGCAGGGACAGTGAATGCACCATGGACCCTGACATCCCAGCCTTGCAGGTGCAAGGGAAAAGCTACAGCCCACAGCAAGTGGGAAGTCAGAGCTATTCCCTGTTCTCTGGAGGACAAGCTGGGATGCCTACCACCCCTTTTATTGAGGGCAACAGGGTGCCAGCGTGTCACTCTGAGTCCCATAGATCCTAGGGTCCCAGTTCCAGGGTATTTCCAACACACATCACGGAGTGTGCCTTACGTCCATCTCTCTTCCATGTATTCCTGCCTGCACACACATAAGTTTTCCTGCCAGGCAAACCAGCCATAACTCAGCAGGGCAGAAGTTTGGATGCCAAGGGAAAAACAAAAGGCTCCAGCAGGGAGTAAGTGGCACAGCGCAAAGCAGGGAACGAGCGCCTGGACCTCCCTGGGCCGCTGCCTCGAGCCCTGCCCGAGCCCCTCACCTTGTGCACATTCCCTCAGCAAGCTGGAGCACCTCTTCACCAGCAGGGAGAACATGGAGAGCCCCAGGGCCGTGGCCTGTTCCTGGATGACAGAGCGACAGTCTTCAGAGACACACTCTAGGAGACAAAGAGAGAGTTCAGCACGAGCAGCTCCCTCCTCGCTCCACCTTGCGCCCTCCTTTCCCACTTCCCTCAAGAAACAGGGATCTCCGCAGGGGAAAGGGGTTCTCCCAGCCCACATCATTCTTAGAAAGTGAGGGGAAAAAAAATGAGGATTAAAGCAGTTCTGAGAAAAAAGAGCTCTGATCTCACTGCCCATGTCATGCCCCAAACCAGCTCCCGTGCTGGGCCAGGGCAGCACTCAGGGCTCCCAGCACAGAAGCTGCTGTAGGAACTGATGCCTTCCCCTAAAGGAGGGGGTAAGTGTGAGTGCTAAAAGGGTAATTAGCTGCACGCTTGATCACCCGCCCTGCTGGAGCTTAACCTCAGCAGCTGAGGAGGGGGCTCCTCCCATCAGCTCGCACAGCAGCTTGACGAGGGAACTTAATTGAAGCTGTTACTCAAGGAGATGCCGCGCGACCACAGCTCTTCCCAACAGAGCCGGCTCGGAGGGAGCGC